ATGAATCTCAGTCGTTTACAGCAATATATAACGCAGTTTAAAATTAAATGACCAATAATTGTGTCGCTTTAGGGATCGTCCATAAAGTACCTACGCTCGGAGGGGAAGAGGTGGTTTGCAAACGACGTATATGAGATGGGAGGACAGCGAGTCAATTGTAAAAGAAAGAAGACACTAAATAAAAAAAAAATCTTAAATTGTTATATAAATAGTTTAAAAGCTTAGCTACTTTTAGGTAGGTGTAGGGTACTCAAAAAAGCGTATTGCGAAATGAGGGGAGGGGGTGGACGAAAAAAAAGCATACATACTACACCCTATTGGATGATGAGTTTAAAAAAATTTCTTTCCTTTATCAATTTAAAAAAAAAATAAAAAATAAACTTTTGATAATCGACAATGAACTTGACTTCTTCTGAAACTTTTAAATAGGAGTAATCACTTGTTTTTTACTTGATATTTAATTTATTTTTAACATATTAATTTTTGATTTTAATTTGAATCTTTACCTTCTTAAATTATCATGTTTTATCTCATTTTTATTTACTATTAAAATTTGAAGTCCTAATAAAAAAAAAAAAATAAAAAATATTAAATTTTAGAGAAAAATATTTAGATATTTGTATTTATATATGTACCTTACGCATATATTACATTGTGATAACGGATTTTTTTTGGTTTTTTGGTTTTTTGTTTTGTTTGTTACTTATATTCTTGTTTGAAGGGGCTTGACAATAAGACTGAATTTGTCTTCTTCTTGCCCCAGCCGTGTATATACAGTTTTTAAAGTCTAATTTTGTAAATATTTTCTTTATGGCGAAATATATATTTTATTATTATATTATATTATTACTTTATGGACAACCCCTTACCCTAATTGAGTGGTTTACCATATTTTTGTGGTTTTACCCTAATTAAATTAACTTAAAATAGTAGAAACAAAAAAAAAAAAAAGGTTTATAATTCCAAGTGATTATAATAACTTATAATGAACACATTTTTAAAACGTTGTGATTTTTAGTTAAAACTAAAACTTCATAGACCATTTGACAGTTCTTTTGGTGGTTACACTGCCAAATATTTTTTGAAATTTTAGATTATTGGGCTAAACTTACTTAAGATCTAAGTAAAGCATGGAAAAAAATTTTTATGTTGTTTTATTTTTGAATCCCACCCATGTATCAGCTGGCGTAGTACGGTGGTTTGCAAACGACGTATATGTAGCAGGAAATTAAGACCCCAGGAAATAAAGACTTCAAAGTCTTAAATAAATTAAATCTCTAAACAAATTATTTTATTACCCAATTATTACCCAAACCAGTTACAAACCAGTTTGGATTTTAAAAAACCTCTCAGCTGAGCATGCAGTTATTGAATTAGTTAGTCAAATAACTAATAGTTTTAAACAAAACAAATTTTTTTTAGGAGGCTTTATTGATTTATCAAAAGCATTTGATGCAGTTGATAATCCTATTAGATAAACAAAGCACTATGGCATAATTAATAAAACTCACAATTGGATTAAAAGTTATCTTACTAATAGAAAATAATATATATCCCAACTAGCACACATACGTTAATAAAGCATTAGAACAATGTTGTGCGTTGCGTTGGACAAACATCGACCACCAACATTGTTTTTATATCATTTTGGTTACAAAATGCGACGTCGCCAAGAACAAAAAAACAATGTTGGTTCAACATTGTATTTTAAGTCGGTATTGTCTAATGTTTTACGTTAGTTCAACGTTGTATTTTACGTTGGCAAAAATTTGTATTTTAAGTTGATTCAAAGTTATGTTTTACGCTTGCGCAGCTTTATATTTACCTTTTATAGGAATGGAATTTATTTGTTTTAAGTTAAACATTATATATTTATACGCATATATAGTTGTATATATGTATTTATACATACATATTTCCGCCACATTGATAATGAATTAAGGTATTGTGGTTTATCCTCCTCCGGCTAGTTGCCATACATAGGCCATTTTACCAAGGCCCGCAAGAAAAATTCGGCTCCCCAAGGAGCGTCATCACCCGCTCTACGGACCAAGAGTAAGGTGAGTATGCGTAAAAGTTGAAAGAAATTGTTTTAGATATATCGCATTAAGAAACCGGACAGAAATTTCACACGATGTTAGAAAGTGCAAACGTAATAAGCAATTTGATGAATAAACTTTGTTATGACATATGTTGAATCTGATAAAATTGCATCTAATTAAATAGACATTATTTATGTTTGTTTTGCTTGTGGCTTGATATTTTATTATATAAAAAAGAGAAAAATATATTAGCAAAACATGTTTCTATAATCAACTGAAATTTTTAAATGAAAAATAAAAAATTCGATTTATAAAAAAGATTTTTGCAATACATCTTTTAAACTGAATGCAGCCATATTTGCTCATGATACAAATCTATTTCTTACTAAAAATGATATTAATAATTATGCAGATATAAATACTGAACTAAATAAAGTAAATAATTGGTTTAGGGCTAATAAACTCTCGCTTAACTCAGAGAAAACAAACTGCATATTATTCCGTATAAAATAAAATAAAAAAAAAAAAAGAAGAAGAAAACCTTCCTCTTAAGTTGCCTTACCTTATCTTAAATAATAAATTTAAGATAAGGTAAATTTGTGACGTGTCGTTTCATCAAGATTATCTCAGTTAAGAAAAAGTATTGCCCAAATACTAATTTTCATTTCATAAACGCTGTTAAGATTTTGCCTTATGGCAGTATCATAATAGTTCTGCAAAGTATTTACAGCTTTATCAGTTAATCTTCCTTTACCCATTATTTTATCCCCATCAGACAATATATTTAATTTCATTAATTGGCATAAGTTTCGCAGTCGTGCTCCCATACACTTTTGAATATTGATCTAAAGGATTATTCATGGTTAATGAAACAAATGCAATTATTTTGCTAGTTATTTTAACCAGGTTTATTTTTTCTTTTATACTAATATTCACATCCTTTTCATTTTTTTGATAAAACAAAATGGTGATTGCATTTTTGATTATTTGTCGGTATCAAAATTACAACATAATTTATAGATGTGTGACCCCTATTTTGCCATGCACCACCAACAGAAACATAGCAATCAACAGTACTTGTATGATCACTGTTATCATTTTTAATATATCAAAGTTCATAATAGAGTTATTATTACTCTTGTAATTTTTATTGCTATTCTTAACATTTTGAGTAGTTTTTGTTATCAAAAATACTTCTTTGCACTTTTATAACTTGCATTTGGTAATGAAGACAAATTTTTTTTTTTTGTTTATCATTCCATATGTGCTGATTTTCTTTAAGCTTGTATTTACGTTTTCTAATCATACTGTGAGTCAATTTTTGTTTAAAAGATGCAAACAAATTTATATTAAAAGTGGTTGTTAGAAGCTTTCAAATGTAGTCAAAGTTGCGCTTCCTATTTGTAATGTTCAAACTGTGGAGTTTATCGTAAAGTTGTTGAGAGCACTGGTACAAACACTAAGCAAACAAGATACTTTTAAGAATTAGGTTTCTCCAAAAAGTTAAAAAATTAAGAAACCAACAATCAAACCTGTTGCTAAGGCGATAACAAAGGAAACCTGAAAAACTATGGTTAGCTAAAACATAATTACTTAAAAAATTAAATTGAAGTATAAGAAACAACTTTCATATTAATAACCTCTATTAAATTTTGAATAAAAATTAAATAAGATAAAAAAATTATATTTTTTTGATTTTTGAGGGGAAATGCTACCTTAAAAACAAGCTCTTATGGATCCTGGAAAGTAAAGATATTTGGTTAAACGATAACCTAATGAACGCAGGACAAAAGGTAATTGAAACGTATCGATCGGTACTAAACCAGAAAAAGAAGTCGATATACCTCCCAGTTTCTGGCGACCATCTTCAGTTATTGCATGAGGGTAGTTATCATTGGTTATTAGTAATTAGTCCAAGTGGCAGGGTTCAAGTGTTCAAAAAATTCCTCTTTCAATCTCTTGTGAAGGATGAACAGCTTGTAACAGATGTAACAGTTCTTCCTATTGATAAACAGACCGATAGTTTTAACTATGGTGTTTTTGCTTTGGGTTATGCTTGTATTTTGTTAGAGTGAAAATCCCACGTTGATGCTCGGTTTGTTGTGAATGAAATGCGCAATCACTATATGAAATGGATGAAAAACGCTCATTTTTTGAAAATCTTTTCTTTATATATTATTTTCGTAATTTCAATAGTTTAGTATATTCCTTAAAGTTAAATTTCAAACTTTTTAATGAAGAAAATATTTACATTAAATAAAAAATACAAAAAATACCTTTTGCGATTTATTTGTCAGTAGTTAAATACAAACAACAAATTTTTTAAAAAGCAACATTCCATTCCCCTAAACACTCCTGCAATTCTATAATATTCTGGTTATCAAAGGTTTAATAACCTTATGATTATCAGTTCGATAAAATATCTCTTACAAAATCCTCGTAATTGGGTGTTCTATAAAAGTACTAGTTCCCTGAAAAATAATGACCAGTAGCGGAATGATCTTTCAATTTTGAAAGATCATTGGAGTCTTAATATACCGATCTACTCTTTATTTCTTAGAAATTTTAAACTCGGTAAGTTCTTATTTCCTCCTAATTTTAGTGATCTTATTTTACCGTGACAGTAGATTTAAACCGTGTACCGTGTAGCCGGTACACGATTTGAATTAATGTATTTATTTTTTGATGGTTACCATGTTTATTATTACTGCAGTTTTATTTATAAGTAACGTTTGAAGTTACATTAAAAGTTTATCTAATTTTTTTTTCAATTTTATGTTGCTTTTATCACTATAGTCTCTAAAAAGATTCCAGTGACGATAGAAAAGAGTAAGTTTGGAAAAAAAAACTAGAAAAAGAAACTATGAATGAAAAGTTCTTTTTACGAATTTTGACTTCTACATTTGTTACTTTTTATTTAAAAAATAAATCCCTCTTTTTAAAAATTTTAAACTTTGT